AGTGATAAAGTAAACTCGTTGGCGTTAACATCAGTAAAGTCGTAAAGTAAACGTGTTGGGATTACATTTAAGTAGAGTAAATTGTGAAAGTTGATGATAGTGATTGTAAATAATTAAGTGTATTGTAATTGAATTGTGAATTACGGAGTAAATAAAGGACATTAGATTAATTCTTTATAACGAAAGATACTGCAAATTGAATTGGCGAGTTTTTATTTAACAATCCAGAGATCGTACCCGAAGGACTTAGAAAATAATCGAGGTTGATTTAGTAAAATCGTAACAATATGTAAATGTATATATACATGTGTGTATGTGTGTGTGTGTGTGTGTGTTTTTGTGAAATCGCTCTTATTTTTTGTTATTTCTTTTTAATAATATTATAAGAACTGAATTGATCCGAGTATGTAATTATAAGTATTAAATGTAAAGTATGTATTTCTTTTTTAATTTATATCATTATAAAAACCAGATATACTGATAAGGTTTATTAGTGTTAATATGTATATAATATATACGTATTTTAAAATATATACAAAATTTTTATCTGAGAGAGTTTTTCGATTTATAAGGGATGCTAAGACTAAGAGATGTTATATGGCTCCCATTAGGGTTAAGGGCTTATATAAACCATACTGTTCTTGCTGGGGCTTCTATTCTATTAATTCTATTCAAATTTTATTGTTATATTTTATTAGAATTGAACAATTGGTAGATGCCGTAAAAATGGCTTACGCGCTGATCCACAAATTAACCTTCTCGTTTAATTTACGTTCTCTGCCACAGTCAAAGAACGTACGTATGTGAATTAATATACGGTCTTTGGTTCGTCTGTTGTCAAACTGTTATTTGGCTACAGTCAACGAAAGAAAAAAAACGAAAGTTGTTTGATGCAAGTTGTGTTTTTTTGAGATTTGGGGTTGGTGGATATGAATGTTTTCTGGAGTAAAAAAATCTGTTAAGAAAGGTACTCTGATAAAAGAATTATAAAGATAATGAAATCAAAACGTAACAAAACTGAACCACAGTTAGATGAAATTGACAATGAAGTCGGAGAGTGCAATGAGACCGGTGAAAATTCTGAACTACAATCACCACAAGCACAAACAAGATGGACCCCGGAATGCACTAGGGTAATGTTGCAATTACGTTTCGAAAGGCAAATAGAGTTCCAGCAACGAATTAGGCAGAAAAAAGAACTTTGGTCTGAAATTGCTACTGAAATGAGGCGGCAAGGTTTGTGTGACTTTTCGTTAACAGCAGAAGTGTGTGATCTCAAATATCGGAATATGTTGCAAACATACAAGAAAAATAGGTTGAAAGAAGATAGCGGAATGCACTCTCTAATAGCCTGGGAATATTATGATCTCTTCAAGGAGGGATTGACGTTAAGCGATGACTTGGACGTCCAAGAGGGACAAAGACGTGTTGTGCCATTATTGTTGTGTGAATCAGTCTGCGATGTAAGTAATGAAGATGTGTGGTCAGCATCAAATGAGCTAGATTCGAAGATCTCGATAATGGAAGCAGAAGCCAATGTTCAGAAGGATACATCCGAAATAATCGATGACGACACTGAATATACTTCAAATGTAGGCAATTAAAATTTAAAATTAATTATCAATTTATATATTTTACACATTTATTCTTTCACTTTAAAGATAACACTCGCGAACAACAGGAAAGGAAAAAAGCGATCTATTATGAAAATTGAAGAGAATATTTTACCCACAGCAGATCAACAACACTGCATGAAAACAGAAATAGCTACTCCATCTAGAAATTCCAGGGCCGAAAATATCGCAATCGTTGGCTCGAGCGAACTGACGGTAAAAAAATAATTAAATGTATTAACAAAAAATCGTAAAATTTCCATATTTTAGCAGCCTCAACAAGCTATTATTAAACCGGACACTTCCGTGCGACCGCAACGCAAACACACCTTTCCATCCTTACTCTCATCAATATCTAAGGCAAAAATTGAACATGACTCTGTTGAAGCGGATGTAAGCACAATGAATGTTGTGCAAAACGATCCAATCATATCATCAACCTCCACCTCGACAATTCCAATGCCAACTATAATTCATGCCCCACCATTGCAACCACCCTTATCACAATCTGCGTTATCTTCTACACCTCCTAATCAAACAGGAATAACCATTGTACATTCAAATCAAACGCAAGCTGTACCCGTCGGCTTAGTTCCATCGGAAATGCGTGAATGTCAGGTTTTTGGTGAAAGTATTGGATTGCAATTGGCTCATGTTTCAGATCCGCATATAAGAGCGATGGCGCAGCTAAAAATACAAGAGTTACTTTACTTAGCCAAAACAGGTAAACTGCTGGAACCTGCACGCGTCTGAGGCTTCTAAAAAACATGTAATGAGTTCATGTAATTTATTATAATAAAAATGCAACAAATATTATAAATGATCTTAAGAAGATTGCTTCATATCACTCACTGACTTCATGACAGACTTCGAGGCAGTTATCCCGAATAGAAACTTTTAGGACCGGAAAATGTCAGCAAGCACCGAATTGATTAATTTTTAAACGGATGGGTCAAAACTAGAGGAGGAGGGGAGATCGAAAGACCATTGTAGCGTTTTTCAGGCAAAATTGGTGGCCATAAACGAGGCTGTCAACTATCTTAAATCAGTGGTACTCTTGGGTAATCGTATGCATATACCAGAACGGGTCACCGGGTCACAGTAACATACCAGGTCATGAGGTGGAAGACTAACTTCTAAGCCCAATATAAGAGAGTTATTCATTAATGATGCCAATTTAAGATGGGGAAATCTCGACACATGTAATATGGCCAGGTCAATATGGCGAGAATAGAATAGATTCTCATGCAACCTTATCGAGCTGAAAAGGAAGCATACATATGTCTACAGGCTTAAGTCTTCTTACAGGACAAATCTTATTAGGTAGTCACGCTGAGATTGGGCGTGCCATTTATTGATTTCTGCAGAAGTTGCAGACAGGAAGAAACACCGGAAGCTTCAAGGCGTTTTCTTCGCGAGTGCCACTTTGGAGGAGTAGGCTGAAGTCTCTAGAGAGGCGGCATTACAAACTCCACGCACTGGTTCGATTAGAGAGTGGAGGTCCTTGGAATCCTCAGTGGTATAACAATGGGCCGGTTTTTGGCTTAGGTGCGCCGCAATAAAAAAAAAAAACAGATTAATTTTTTATTTAAATTAATTTTCTATAACATTTTGAATGTTAGTACGACACCATAATTTGAACCCGAGCCCTTCTAATGGCAAGTCAAGTCACATACCGCAATTTTAAAAGAAAAATACGGTCGGCAAAGTAAGAAGACATGTCAGCAGAAAGTACAATTGCAAAGGTTTTTTGGACGCAATGAAACAGTTTAAAGATTATACATTGCTGTTTGCATAGAGCATGAGAAAATTAATACGTCCACTACTCTTGCAATCTTATAGTTGTTCCGAAGTTAAGAACTTCGGACGTTCTCACGGAATTCCATTCAGGCAGCAATGATCAAACTCGAAAAATATCAAGAATCATTAAGGTGCATTTAATAAAATCGTTACAATACCAAACATATTTAAATTAAAAGTCCTGAGATTGGTTGCACACTTTACTATCTCTCTTTTAAAACCCATTTTACTAACAATACAATTTTTTATAAACGCATAGTTTACTCTCCTGTAAACAATATTCTGAGACAATTTTCAAATCAAGCACCTCTCTATAAACACAATTTATTTCTCTGTAAGCTCAGGGTCACCTCCTTTTCTTTTTTTTTTTAAAAATGATGTCACTACGGAGTTCTAAACTCAACTGAATATGCAAGTGAGCTAACCACCGCTTTTATCTACCTGAAGAGTTCTCGCATCTCTAGAAGAGTCTTTCCTTCTAACCTCACATTGGTGTTGGGAATTTCGCTACAATAATAAATAATTTTTCCATTCTCTGGTACCATTGTGTAGATTTTGATTTATAAATTGCCAGACCTAATTTTATTTATTTCAACCCTAGAAAAAAAACTTAAGTATGGCCAATTAAGATTTTTGACGTTTTGTTATCTAAATTAATTCCGACCCTTAATGTGGTGAAATAAAGTTGAGTTTGTCATGTTTGGAAAGAATTCAGCGAATTCAGTCTACCGGAATTCGTCGTGGTATTAACTTTTATTCGTTTTAAGTCGGCGATCGACAGTCGGCAGTTTTCTTCATTCGTTCTCGTTGGGTTTTCTTCTTTCCCCTTAAATTTTTTTTAAAGTTTTCAATTCTTGAAAAGTGGTATTCTTTCGCTGAAGAAATTTTTACGTCGGACTTCTTTGAAAGATAGAAGTCAATTTGAGCTTAAGAGAATTCTTTTGCGATTTCGTTTTGTGTGAAAAGAAACTTCAAATTGAATTTTAAAGTAAAGTGAGTGCAAAACGCGTTAAGCGGCAAATTTTTCCATTTTGCAAATATGTATATTTTTTAGATAGCTTCAGTGTGAAACACGGTGTATATGATTAATGGCTGGCACTTTATAAATTGTCGGTGCAAAAAGAGAATATATGTAAAGAAAAGTTGTTACACAACTGAAATGTTCCAAACATAATACAAAAATATTTAAATAAAATGGGATTGATGACGAAACCCAAACGTATCAAAAAAAAAAAATACATAGTGGCAAATTTATGTTAATTCTCTTCATTCCTTTTATGCGCAAACCACTCTTTAGGTTTGCGTTGCCACTCTAAAAAACTTTGTTATTGGAATGTATCGACAACTTAATGTTTTCAATATTGATTTACAATTATGCAAGCAAATAATACTGTGATTTTTATGACCACGTTCAAAATAGCAAGACAAAAAAGTGATTTGCATTGAAAGAAATTAATAACCTCTTTTAATTTATATACAGTAAGTTGGCAACGTTAGTGCATACAACATACCTCTTCTTAGCTTTTGTGCGTGAGGAATTTGCACATTTTCGATGCTTCAAGTGTGTGAGAGCAAGCAGTTCGGCTATAGTGATAGTGTATATCTCAAAGATAGGCGCGCGAGAGTGTGATATCTGAGTCCAACACCCAAAAAAGGGAATAAAAATGTTAGCGACTACTTCTACTGCCCCCATACTGTTTGCAGTATGTTTGTTTTTTATATTTCAATAGGGCTTGTGTCGCAAATTTTCATAGTGTTACATTTTGGATTCTTTGTTAACTTGTTAACGGGTACATTATAAGCATTGTTTTGCTTGGGAATAGCAATCGCATAATTAAAAAGATATATATATTTTGCTAGAAAATGCGGAATAACGACACAGAATATTTATAACATCTATTTATAATAATGATATTTACTAATATGTGTGCTTGCATGAACCAGTGCAAAAATACACCAAAACACATTTGCATTCGAATATACTTATGGATGTAGAAACATGCCTCTTACCCCCTAGCAAATTTGGTAAGGTCGGAATTTTAGAAGTGAACAGGTAATGTAGAGCAATTTTCAAAAATAAATAGCAAACACAATCCTCCAAGAAAAATTGTTGCTGAATTTTTATATTAAAACAAGATAAAAACGTTAAACTATGAAACTGTGATATGCAAAATTCTTCTATTAAGAAATTATTTGGTGCGCTTAGTAATAAGGTTGCAATAAGAGAAAGAAAACAAACATTAGCAGTTCGCTTCCTCAAAATTGTATTATAAATTCAGTGGTCTAATACGTAGCATCCACTTTAATGCCTTACATATATGTACACGTACGTACATATAATTTTGTACACGAACGCAGATGTATATTTTAGAAAGCAGTCAAAGGGTGGCAAATGCTCAGCCAGTAAACGAGGGAATGTCGAGGCCTCCGAGTGTATATCTGACATAAATAAAACCTCCTAATAAAAATCCAGCGGAAGCTGCGAGGCGACTTAGAATAAATTGTAGAGAAAACCGAAACGCAAACCAATAATTTCAGGAGGAGCTCGACCGATAACCCCTTCAGTAGTTACAAAGCGCTTATTATTATTAGATGGCAGAAGTCTTAAATAGTGCCATGCGTTGGTGATTCAACTCTTCAGCTCTACGAACGCGTACTTTTTATGTATTTTGTAGAATCCTTACTCTTTATATTATATTCCTCGATACTCAAAGCCCGTGACGTAAATTGCAAACGGATCTAGCTTTGCGCTTTGTAACCGCTGAAGCGATTTTCATCCGAGCTACTTCTCAAATTTATGGTTTCACATCTATGAAGGTACCTACAAATGAAGGTACCTACAGTTTAGACTAGGCCGCATCCGAAAGCTTTGTTTCATATCAGAAATTCATTTAGAAGGGTAGACATTCCCGAAATTAGAAAATTTACCTTAAATTTTTATTTAGGATTGGAAGAAACCATCCAGAAAACAAAGTGCAAAATATTAAGGGATATGACCAATCCGCTGTAGCTGCCAGAGTCTATGTAAGTGCAATTTGCACTCTACTTTACATTTGCTGATACATAACTTGTTTGTATGTAGATTCATAGATTAATATCGTCTTAACAAAGAAGTCTCTGTAGTAGTGCTGAATGTCATTAAAGGCAAGTTAGATGCTGTCTATCCCAGCTGTGCTCAAACTTGCAGCGACACAGAGGTTTTTGGCAGAAGCCTCTGATGAACAGTCTGTGGAAATCAAATATATCCTTAGCGTGAACGTTTTAACGTTTGATTTGCCCAAGCTGTATAATTTCAGGAATGAACGACAATGAAAGGGAGAGCTCGTGACCATTTTTACTTCAAGTACCGTATTCCAGTCATTGCTGGTTGTAAATGTATGGATTGTTTTTGACTTACATTTTTATTAAATTTCCGCTTGCAAAGAAGTTTGCTCACAATTCTGTCAACGAATAACTGCTCGGTTTAATTCTGACACTTAAGCCGATAATTCGGTTTTTGTAACACCTGTATTCAACACAAATTCTGTTTCGAAAAAGAAGCCGATACGGAAATCAATAATTGGAATGTGTAACTCCTTCAGCAGAATTTTGTCGGTTCAATTCAGATTCCGACAGTAATCCAAATATTTCTGTAACACCCCTTATTAATTAACTTTCAGTTGTTGCGCTTAGGGTAAGTGTGCTAGTAAACGGACAATTTCTAATAACTGGACAGTACTAAGAATTTCTTTATTTGATAATTGATGTGCCACGACTACCCCGCGGACTGCGTGTATGTTAACTGAAAATGTATGAAAAAAAAATTTGTTCCGAAAAATTTAAAATGGATAATGAATAAGCTGAAAAAAATGATTCTTAATAAAGGGATTGTAGTATGGTGTATTTACGAAATCCCTAAGTATACTAACCAAGATCTTATAAATTACGAATTCCAGAATTTCATTGGAAATTCGGTAGCCAAAGATCCCAATGGAGTGAAATCTTCTCCCACATTCACATGCTAAATGCTAAATGCTTTTAATGATGTAATGTTTGTTATGTTGTATAACGTTAAAAAATTTCTAAAGTATTCAACAAAAAGACATTTTAAACCCGATTTAATAATCTTCCTTCACTAACTTATTTGTTTTTATGCACATAAATTAAATTCTTTCAACTTCCGTCCCAATTTTCTTTCATACCACTAATTATGTCGATACAAACCGACAAATTCAGAATTTTTAATTCATTATGAAGCGACTAATAATGGTACACTCGTAAAATATTGTGTGCAATTTATCTATCGCTGCATCAGTACGAATTTATTACATTCAAATAAAGATTAAAATGGTTGAAGAATTTTAAAAACTTAAAATGTCTTTTTCTCACTACCATTGTTATTATAATTATTTTTAATTATGCTTAAATGTCGTATTTTTTATAAAGATAATCAATAGCTTTCTATCCCATTTCTATTGTGGACCCAATTCGCCAGAAAACTGCAATTTTTTCTTTAAAAGAGGAGCAGGCTTAGAAATTCTGTAAACATCACTGTACTGTATTCTCTTTATTAGGAACTCATTTTTTCAGCTTATTTATTATTTATTTTACCAAAAATTTGAATTAAGTAAAACGTTTACAACCATGATACGGGTTGTACGGATACTGAAAGAAATATTTTTCCCATACATTTTCAATTGCCGGACGTATAGTCCGTAATTTGAATTATTGAATTGAATTAGCTTGACCTTCATACCATTAACCAGACAGTCGAATTTAAAAGGATCTTTTTAAATATGCATTCTGAATTAATTGTACATAAATTATCAATAAAACTAAACACTATTAAACCCATTTCTATAAATTATAACTTATAGTCGTAAATGTACACTAAAAACGTTCTGTAATAATGCTCCATCTGCCTTTGCCTCTGCCTCGATTTTGCTATTGTGGAAATGTGTAAGCGATTGACCACAAACAGCATGAAAATAAGCATAATTGTATGTATAAAGCCTGTGATTGGGGTCCCCACGCACAGTACCAAAGAACGACATACTGAGGCTGACTACGTTAACTACAACCATACCATATATGGTAAAGTAGAAATGTTGGACAAATGAAAAAAACGTTGCCAAATTAATTACATACGTACGTACATGTGTGCGAGTCGAAAATTATTTAATTAGAAAAATGTTGAAAAGATTCAACTTTTAATAACAATCCTCAAAATTTCAATTGTTTAGGATAATAAACTCAAATTTTTGTCGAATAATAAAGTTTCGTTGGAGACTTTGGGATCACACTCTCAGGCCTATTTTGTCGAGGTAATACAATTTACTTTGGTATTCAAATTCACCATTCAGATTGTTTGTTACCACCTATTTCGAGGGTAACAAAATTTGCAGGGACAAAATACGAAATACGAAATAATAAAAAAATTTACTGAATGGTGAATTTGAATACCAAAGTAAATTGTATTACCTCGACAAAATAGGCCTGAGAGTGTGATCCCAAAGTCTCCAATGAAACTTCATTATTCGACAAAAATTTGAGTTTATTATCCTAAACACTTAACTTACTTAACATAACTTTTTTGCACTTATTTCTTCATTCTCAACCTAAAATATGTCTACACATCTTGGTTGGTTATTTTTTCTTAAAATAACAGCACAAAATCAGACAACAGATTGTTTGTTACCACCTATTTCGAGGGTAACAAAATTTGCAGGGACAAAATACGTATTTCGTATTTCGTATTTTGTCCCTGCAAATTTTGTTACCCTCGAAATAGGTGGTAACAAACAATCTGTTGTCTGATTTTGTGCTGTTATTTTAAGAAAAAATAACCAACCAAGATGTGTAGACATATTTTAGGTTGAGAATGAAGAAATAAGTGCAAAAAAGTTCATGTTAAGTAGCGGGCGGGAAAAAATGTCCTTTTAATTTGAAAGATAGCGTTTTCATTTAGCTTCCTTTTGTCGCTCTAGCATATTTTCCATAATTAGGTTCAAGTA